TTAATACAGGACAAGCTGATCAGAAGAGGCACGATTCTAGTTAACGGTTATTTTTTGTGCAATAGGAATGCAGAGTCGTGCAACTATATCCTGTGCCTTTGTCTATAAACTTTGGATTCTTGTTTATAGCCTTTTGGGCATCAATTGGTTAATGGTTGGCTCAGTGAGAGAGGAAATTTGGGTGCAGAAAGGATTCAGTGTGCGAAAAAACATGTTAGCTTCATTCCCCTGGCTACTTTTTGGGTGACATGGAAAAAAAAAGATACAATAGAGCTTTTGAGGACATAGAAGTGAATTTTAATAGGATTAAAATTTATTGGTTCCAGAGCCTAGGTTTTTTTTGTTAAGGGTCATCATCTTTACTCTGTTGAGGATACTGGGGACCTTATTGACATTTTAATTGATATGTATATATTTTGTACATGGGTTTGTATCCCCTCAGTGCTTGTGAAAGAATTGTCCTATACTATTTTTGTTTCAAAAAAGATATATATACTGTACATGCCCACCACCCTGTAACTAGTAGATATGTTAATTAAAGTCTTAAGTAATCCAGGATTTCAGACAATCATTACAAAGCTAAGAATAGACAATGTTCATCCATCAACTTGAGGGGAAGTGGGAAAGTATATATTATGTTTAACTATGTAACGGGTATATTAGCGAAATACCCGTTTATACAATTAATTGTAATGTTTCCTTTTATTATTTTCAAGAATACGTACATATATGGCCCTAATACTCAATAATAGATATAACATTCATTCTTCCACATCAGATAACACTGGAGCTTCCTATCCTACAACTACACCAATCTATTCTCTTGACAATATAAAAAAGAAATAAAGATGAAGGCAAACTAAGAGAGACAAGATTGGATGGAAGATTCTATAAACCAAAAGTTCTGTTATTTTGCAAATGGTGTGAAAGATTAATTATTTTATCACAAATTATATTTTCCATTTTCAAGATATTTTCAAATAATCAGAAATTTTACTCCATGCTAATTATTCGGCGTCTCTCAAAAAAGAAAAGGCAAAAACAGCTAATAAAAAAAATATTTGAAATACAAAACCTCAAAGAGTAACAATTACAATGAGGAAAACGAGTTAAATTGGAACCTTAGTCTACTATCTCCTTCAACTTGATAGAACTTCAGCAAAGCAATCTAGTTCTAATTTTTTTTGTCAAATTTCATCCAGATCATGGTGATAAGAAGGAAATATCAGCTTTTCTAAATCACCGAGTGACCTAAATCATTACATGTTTAAAAGAGCATAGTATATTTCGTTATTATAAAATGTACCTGCACCAAGACTGAAGGAGATAAGCCTTCCTTCTTGTGATAGGAACTCCTTTATACTATGATTTTGAATCTTCTCAAGAACTTCTAACCATATCTCTTCGAGTCCATTCCGGCTTTTCCCTAAAGCCGGATTTCCAGCCATCCGGATCATCCCAGTAGGTTGACGAGCCACTCCAGTCCCAGCATGTCTTTTTCTATCGATTCTGATGCCTTTCATTTTTGCATTGTCAATGAAATCACCAGAACTTCCAGCAACAAAATTTTCCAGTCTAACATCTGTTGAAAAGCCTCTCTCACAGTTAAGCATCCCAGCATTCTCACCTCCTCTCCTTGTAATTTCTCTTCCTCCTGCATTATTTGTAGTCAATGGACTCTGATTGAAACTACTGTCTGCAGATGAACTAGGCATCATATACTGCTGATCAGGAGCAAGTTGAAGTAACGCAGCTGTTAACCATGTTAACTTGTCACTTGATGTCCTTAGTTGTTTTTCTGCTTCAGATAAAGTTTTCAGAGCCTGGCGTAGTTTTTCCATATCTTCTTTGGACACTAGATGCAGAAAACTTCTTCAGTCAGTAAGGAAAAACCTTATTTTTCATAAAAGAAGAAATATTATCAGAAGGTAGTTAAAAATATACTAACAAAAGGAGAAGCTATTCTCCAAAAGAAAAAGAAACAAAGTAAATGCATACCAAAAGAAAGGAAGATAAGTTTTGGAAGAACTTTGAGAACAGAAAAGATGCATAGAGATATTTTAATTTTGCTTTTCTCTTTTTTACTAATTCAAGGTTTGGTGTTCATCCATTACATTTATTACCTAGAAAATCACAGAACTTTAAAAGCCAAATTTTAAGATGAGAAACCTTTGTAAATTACTGAAGCTCAGTAGGGCAAAATAGAACTAGAAAACAGCAAACTTACTTCAACTAAGAACTGATAAGAAAAGAACTATGGAAGTAGGAGCATAACAAAAATATGATGCAGGAAAAAAGAAAAATCAAGGGTTAATGTACAGAGACTTTCTGAATATGTATATTAGTTAAGAGAACATCTTTACTGCATTTCTCTCTAAGAAAAAAATTATTAGCGCATCATTTCTAACTCACACGGTTGCCGGCGAAAGAATTTCCTTCTGTGCCTTTCTTTCATAAAGTCATAACTACCAGCAAGTATATCAGTTATAACTGTTGCAAGCTGTGACATCAATGCCAAAGGCTCCACTCCACTTTCCATTATTACTCTCAAATTCTTCACAGTGTTTACTGTGTCTGCAGATAATGCTAAATCAAGAAGATCCACCAACTTTTCATCAGAGATAAGCCCAACCTATATGCAAGATCCATAAATATTAAATCATCTCATGCTGGCAGCAGCAGTATATTTAGTTATTGAATACGAAAAATTTCATACAGATAATGAGACAAAGTACACGTCCATAGAATATGTAACTTCCTTCCCTTTTTGCTGCCCTTTTAATTTTGGTGGCCAGGGCCACAATGTATTGAACTGGAGATAAGTATAACAATAACAGTGTTACTAACAAAATTCCTTCCAAACTTTGCCACGGTCTATCACCCTATAATCCTGTCCCCTCTTTCTGGCTGTCAATACACAAACTTATAACTAACAAAGTACGAAATCCATAACTAAAATCATCTGGAAAAGGCAAAAGAAGAAGTCACTTGATGAGATTTAGAAAAGAAGCAAGATATTTCAAGACAAACTGATGAAACCAAAAGAAAATAAAACATACTGCAGGATGAAACATAAAGACAAAGATTTCAGCGTGCAACCTCAGGAAGGTGAAAACTAAGGTTGCATGAGATCAAATCTAAATACAGGAGACCTAGAATATCAATAAAAAATTAAATATGTTATTTACAATTATCATGTGCTAGTCACATATATATTAGTATATTCTTTTCCACAACTAAAAGCAGTTTAGATGGATATAACCAAAAAACCCTAAACAACAAGATTAAATCCTAAATGATATTGATATTGCCTTCATTCAAATATCTATTTACCCAACTTTAAAGCAAGATTTTCCCTGGCAACCCAAGTTAGAGAATCAACAGCAACCTCAAGATGGTAACTATCAACTAGATTACATGTCTTAAAACACAAATCAGAGAGCAATATTATGAAAATTAAAACTTGAAATCTTGTTCTACAGGCATCAGAGATTAGATTCATTAGATATACATTAGTATTTCCTTTTCCCACAATTAAGAGCAACTTAGAATGGGATTAACACAAGGGTTGAAAATTGGCTATTGGAATACAATAAATTACTTCGAAAACGACACCAGTTGCACACAAACTGTTTGAATAATCAGTACACTTGAGTGCAAAAATAAACATATCAGTTTGCAGTACTTTTAATCTCATTATTCTTTTTTTTTGAGAAATAATTTTAATCTCATTATTCTTATCCCAAGCAACTAACAATACTTTTGAAGATTTTAATTTAAGGACCAGAAACAACTAGGCAACCAAAGAAGCTGAAGCAAACAAAGAATATCTTTAGAAATACAATTACTCGCGAGCATATCTAGGAGCCAACTTAAATGCCACTATCAACAATCACAAACCATAAAACCAAAGATGGCATTGATATAAAATTCAAAGCACAAAAATGAGAAGAAATTACCAATTCCTGAACCAGTGGAACCGAAATTCTCTGTCCAAGTAAACTCAGCTGCTCAAGAGTCATCTCGGCATCCCTCAATGATCCATCGGATCTTGTTGCAATGAGTTTCAATGCATTCTTATCAATTTCTATATCCTCCTTTGACGCAATCCACTGCAACGTATAGACAATATCTGCATCCTTCAACTTTGGGAAAAAGAATTTCTGACACCTAGATATGATTATATGAGGCAGAACCTCTAAACTCGAGCAGACAAGGACAAAAACCACCCGTCGAGGTGCCCGGTCAATCACCTTCGATATGGCACTCCAGCAATCAGATGATAGCGTATCACAGTCATCAAAAATAAACACTCTGTATTGGGTTGGCAACTGAGAGATGATCATATTGTCAAGCAGATCCATCATTCCCTCAAAGTCAAAGTTACTGACAGGACCTACTTCCCGTATGTTACGACTTTTACCCAAATCATGTGAAATGCAAGAATTACAAAAGCCACAAGGTTTAGGAGGTTCCAGAGAATGACAGTTTAAACCTCTGGCAAATATGCGAGCACAGGAGGTTTTCCCTGTCCCATGAGGTCCATGAAAAACATACAGCAAGCCAACCTTTCTTCTCATGACGGCATTGGAAAGAGCTTGCACCACCAAATTCTGTCCCACAAGATCTCTAAAAGTTTTTGGCATGTACTTTTGAGTCAAACTTTGGTGCCGACCATTGCCATTACTCTTAAACCTGTGCTGATCTCCAGATCTAGCTTCGGAAGCAAGGTCAGAATCAACATCATGCTTAAGTAAATGATCAGCAAATATACCTAGTTCCCCAGAATAGTCGTGCACCCAAGCTACATTTTCAGTGCTCTCTTGAGATCCAGATGCCTCAACTAGCAGCGGCAGAGCCTCTGCATCAGACTTTCTAGATGAGCTTGAGTAATCCGATGCCACAGGCATATCAGGAACATCCCTTCCATTGGTAGCCCCTTTCCTCAACCTTGAGTCTGAAAGACCACAAGATAAGCTTCTACCAGCCATGTCCAGGAAAGTTTTACTCCTGTGATGAATTCTTGACCAATTCCAGGGAATCCCACAGCCATTTCTCGGCGCCCTTGTGACGTTCTGGTCTCTATATCCTTCTTCTTCTTCCATGTAATATTTGGGACATGCTGAACCGTGAGCCAATGAATTAGAAGCCACGGATAATTCATTCTGACCTCCAACATCTCTTGAAGGTGGAGCAGCCCGTGTTCTCCTAGGCCCTCGAAATTTCCTCCTTTTTGACCTATTCAATCCACCTGAGTAACCATAATTTGTGGCATCAGGTTCCTCCACAGGTTTTGGCTGTTTTGAGTGCCTCCTATGATTATGCATGTTAGAAGATGCTACACCATCACTATCCATGGGCATATCATTCAACTGCTCAGAGAGGGTCTTAATTTGAAAATTTTGATTATGCTTCCCCTTTTTTTTACTCTGTCTATCTTTAGATTCAGAATTTCCAGAAACAGTATCATGAACTAAAGCCCCTCCATTTTGAGCTTTCATAAGCTCTTTATTGCCACTCAAAGGAACAGTTCTATTACTCTTTAAGTTTGATTCTTCCCTCCTAATTCTTCTACCATCTCGAACCCCACTCTTGCTACTACGATCACTAACTGTTGCCACTCCATCAATACCAACAGCAGCCTCACCAGGAGCAACCTTTGATGTTCCAAAATTTGGTATGGTAGGCGAGCTCCCTGACAACCTCCTACTTTCTCTGTGACGCTCAATGCCAACTGATCTTCTACCTTCTGGAATTGAGGCATCATTATCACCTTTCTTGGGAAGCATATCCACAACAGAGGGTGAATGCCATGATGGAGGACTAGCCGAAGGATCTCTGAGCGAACGTGATCTCTGAAGAACAATAAGGTCCCTCATAAGAGCCCTATCGGCCAATATAGGGCTCTGCTTATGCATGTGGTTCTTCAAGTGAATGCAGTTGGTCAAGTGGATGTGGTTGCGCAGATGATCACTGATATCACCATTCACATCCTTTAAAATCTTATCACGAACAGCCCTGGTCATGATCAGACCATTAAAGTGCCCAACAGCAGAATCTTTTGTGGATTAAGGAAACATATCCAAATATATGACATATTTCTTTGATTACAGCATCATGATGGATAAAATTCCTCGCCATGATTTACTTTCATCATGCCAATGGCTTAATCCCGGCTGCCAAGCCACCAAAATTCAAGCTCTCAGAGACCCTCCATCTAAGCCACAGTCTCAAATGTTAACAAACATCTTTTCAACTACAACAACAACAAAAAAAGACAAACAAACAAAAGAAATTCCTCCAAAATAATCAAATTACTCATTAGTCATCATAAAACCGCAAGAACCATCAATATAAAAGTAGCAGCATCACCACCCAAGCCCCAGCCCCCATGTAATCAAAGGGAAAAAAGTTCAAAGTCCCAAAAGCAATAGGTCAGCACCAGAAGTCTCTACTTCAAATGCCATTGATTATCGGCAAAACCCTTTTAGCTTGCATATGCAAACCACAACCCAAAAAGCTAAAACGAAAACACCCATGTTGCCCAACCTCAATCTCCTCGCTTCTAGCCTTAAAAAAATCATAGCTTTACAAGGAAATGGATACAGACAGGAGACAAAATGGATAGAGAAAAAGAAAGAAGTAAAGAGGGAAGTATGAGTTGCTTGGTTCACCTGAAAAACCCGAAAGGCAAATGAGCCGTTTCCAAGAATAAGATAATCACAGATCTCTCTTTCTCTCTCTCTCTCTCTCTATCTGAACTTCACATGCACTTCACCACCTGGGTTTCTTTCACGAAAACGATGGTAGAGAAAAAGCCCACAAAGAAAAACAAGAAGTTATTTAGAGAGAGAAAAGGATAGTGGGTGTAAACGCCTCTTCAGAGAGAGAGAGAGAAAGAGAGAGAAAGAGTGAGGAACCCAGCAAGTAGAGAATAAACTAAAAGTGTTGTAGAGAGAGAGAGAGAGAGAGAGAGAGAGAGAGAGTGGAGTTTGTAAAGTCTAAATAGTGAGATCTGTTACGGACAGAAGCAGAGAGCAAGAGGAAGGGGACTGCTGGGAACAAGAAACTGCCAAAAAAGCGGTGTGTCCGTTTGCTCCAACATGCAAATTCATTGATACATATTTCTATTTGCATTTATATTATTGCTATGTGTATATTAACGATTTTTCAGAACTAATATTCTATTTTTCAAAAAAATTTGAATGGGGACCAAAAAGTGCTTCCCGTTGAAATTTCTGTCTTTCTTGTACTTTTTTTATAGAAAAATTTTGAACTTTTGTTGGGTTAATACAAAAAATTTTGAACTTTTTTTTGGTTAACAAATAAAAAATTAAACTTTTTTATTTTGAAATTTATTGATCCATGGAATCTAATCAATAGATAATTGAATTAGGTTTCTTTAAATTTTCAACTATTTTAGTTTAGAAGTCAAAAACTAATAGATTAACCAATTTTTAAGGAGTAAATGTTTGGTGAAATCATTGAGTATATGTTTTAACATTTTTGAATTAAGTTGATTAATAAATCATATAATAAGTATTAAATACACTTCAATAATTGTGGATGGTAGAAAGAGCAAACAATGATTTTATAAAATTTCAATCTTAATTTATGTTTATAATCTCGTCGCAAGTTATCAATTATTACTTAATAATAATTAACATTTAAATATTCTTCATAAAAAAATTTTATTTCATAACCCTTATTACTGGCTACCTCTCTCTTAAAAATTTGTAAAGTATTCCCATGATTTTCAAAAAGAAAAAGATTTTCATCTAATCAAATTTTTGCGACAATAAATAATTATTTTTAAAAATTTTGTCTTAACAATATTATACTCCTTTACGTGATCAAAATATTAAGAATATTATACTCTATAGACTAACTAAAAATGATTTTTTAAAGTTGTCACTAAACAAAACTAAAAGTTTTTCTTACAAAAAAGTGTTTATAATTAACTCTATGTTTGACTTAGTCATCTTCACCAGCAAACCGTTCACACAAACTTGTTATCATGTCAAAAGCTCATCTTTCCACTTTTTCAAGTCTTTTATTCATGCGTGAAAGATAAATTTCAAAATATACTCTTAAATTAGTTAATTATGTCTCAAATAAAACTTTTTAATTCATTTGATTTATGAAGTCCTGTTCCAATTCCATTACCAAAACACGACATATTTTGTACTCATGGTTGATGATGATGGTGCAATTGCTCAAGGTTTAACAAACATATAGATCAACAGTTATAAATATAAAAGCAAGTGTTAAAAGCACTCATAAAAAAAGTCATATAAAAAAAATAACAGTAGAAGTTGACCAAAATTTGAATTGAGCGAACAACGAATCATTCAAGAATTAAATAAATAAAAAAAATTTCAATTCGTAAGTGCTAACTTGTTTTTACATTCTATTGTGTCTAACCAAATAACTATATACCTTGGTTGAAAAAGTCAAAGAGATAGTAGTTTGTTCAAGTGCAAATTTTCTTCAAAAAAAATAATGAAACTTTTAAAATTTTAAAAATTATAAAATAAAATTATTTAAAAAATTAAATAAAAATAATTAGAGATTTTTTACATAAAATCTCAAAAGCAGAGAGTAAAACAAATGATTGTCATAAACACAATAAACTAAATCTTTAAAAATTTAAAAAAGGTCTTATTTAGTAAAAACAACCCTTGAAACGTATAACACCATTACTCAGCATCATACTTATATTAGTCATCAAATGACTTGGATTATAATGCCAAAAGTATAAAATAAAATTTATTTTTGGTCAACAATCTTGTATAAAATCTATTATTTATCACTCAAGATGATTGATAATGATATTTGAAAGTTATGTAAAGAAATGTTTATTTATTGATCTTGCAAGAAAATCTATATATGTTCGTAGATTAATTTAGAATTTAATTCGGATAATTCTCTTTGATCAAATAGATAATTATGAATATAGTTGATCTATATACGAATTATGTTATCAATTTGTGAGATGGCCGCCATGTGACCTTTATATGCTAAAATTTATTAATTTTAAATGGAATTAAACAAAAGTGTTAATTTAAAAGTAAAACAAAATGTTAGTTACTTAATCTTAAAAATTAAAGGTTGCGTATTTTTGTTATAGAAACCTAAAGAACTAGTAGCTTGGGGGTAATGATTTAAAGCACTCCCTTCTTCACAAGTACCAAAAGTTGTCATACGTTATGGAGTATATGATTTTTTATGAATTTGTGATAGATTCTTATGGGGGGGGGGAGAAGGGAAGAAGAAAGAAAATGTATCGTAAAATCAAAAAAGAAAAGAAAAAGGTTTTGCAAATTGTGAGAGAAAAAAATTGAAATGCACGAAAGTCATGAGTAGTTTAGACTTTTTCTACTTGAAACAAAATGGATGCAGAGTCACCTTTGCTTTGCATGTTTCCATTAATTTCAACTACCAAACCCACATGCCAGAAACCAAAAAGGAAAAAAGAGAAAGGGATTTCTTGTTAACATCATTTAAAATAACAAATAATAAACCAATATAATAATGGAGGAGAAAAGGTAAGAGCAACCTTACCCTGCAAATTCACATGCACATATATACAAGATTTTCAGAAATTGCCGACTAGTATCATAAAAACAATATAAATAAATAAATAAGAAAGAGGAAGGAAAACTCATTTACTTTGGATCCTAAATTTTTGACCATGATTATCTAGATAAGTAAATTCAATAATGATTAAAGCATGAAGCTGACCCAGTTGAAGTTGAAGGTTTAAAGAGAGGGGAGAGGAGAAAGCATGATTGGAAAAGCTTCCTTATGTCTAGTTCCGGAGAGACAATTCTCTGATTATGTGTTCTTTATATGCTTTGATCTTGAAAGTAGATAATTTGCTTTAATCTCCTTGACAAAGCAACTTGTTTGCTTTCTTTTTCTTTTCTAATGATTTGCTCACGTGTCAAAGCTCAAGATCTAACGAAAGTAATTAGTTTTTTTTAACTTTTTTGAGGAAAAACTTCAACTCAATAGTTAACAAGTCAAAATTTCTAGAGTATAAAGAAAGCAAGTTCAAATTGTTACCCATATGTTTTTTCCCTCTGAAAAAAATTCTATAACTTGAGAAGACAGGTTTTCGAAACGAACCTCCAATTTAGCCCAAAAAGCAGAGGAGTTCTGGGTCTTTTGATGAAATCTAAGACAATTGTTGAGCTTTTAAGAGTTTGCTCGATCACCCAAAACCTGTGCTCTTCTATGAGAATATTATTCTTTTATATCCTTCTATACCATGAAAGTTTAAGTCAAACATCATCACTGCAATACCACTCTGCTCGGTATCAGCTACACTTTTGTCAATTTCCGAGGAAGAAGCAATTTATGCTACAAATGTTAATGAAACAACAGCAATTTTTCACTGATGAATAATAATTCCAATGCTACATATCCTTTACGAAACTGAAGTATTTCTCAAGGCCCCACCAGTATACGGAAAGAAACACTAATCTATTCTCAAGCAATATATAAAGCTGTTCAGTCAACATCTTGTTGGGGTTGCTACATGAATGGGTAGTAAGAAGAATTTCCACTAACGAATAGGCATAATTCAGAGTTAAAATCTGAAAAATGATCAGAGGCCAATTTACAAGATTTACAGACTAAATTGAGCACTGTAATCTTTAATCCACATCATTTTTCTCGAACCAAATTGCTTGGTTCACTCAATACATATTTAGGGAGTTCATACTTGGCACCTGTAACAGTAAAATCCATAAGTTGAACTTCCACAAAACTAATAAACAAATATCATAAGAGATTAATTTGGCACCTCTCTCATCATAGCAGATTGTCAAATCTGCATTTTGAACAATAACACCGGCACTATCCACAATAGCTTGAGCAAGGGCCAACTCAGCTTCAGCAGCAGCTCGAAGTGCGTCCCATATTTCTGTGAGGACCCATAATTATATCATTCTTCAGATAGTAGGGACCATATCAAGTTAATTGTTTAACAGAATTTTTTTTTTTTCTTTTGGACGAGGGTAGGGGGAGAGGAAGGATTTGTTTGGATTTCAACTGCAGTTTATACTAAAAACAAGAGGTCAACTCACACCACCATAGTCTGGGTTCAAATAAACCGCAGATGATGCATGCAAGAAAAGAGAAGGCAATTTGAACATGACATTTTTGGCATTTCATAGAAGAGCCTGATGAAAATAATCTACAGACTGCATCATATAAGTTGGCTTTTTGGTATTCGTTGGAATAACTCATTAAAGAAGCACCTAATTCGGATATACTTGGAAGAGAAAAAGAAATGGATATGAGAATTTCAAGCTAGAAATTCATCATTTTGATAACAATAAACATGTACTTAGTATTTTAAGATCGAAAATAGCAGCAGTAACTGTTGTCAATCTTATTGCACAGATATATAGAACAAACAAAGACAACCACATATTAGGATGATGACACAAAAACATTTGGTGGCATTCTAAAAATATGATGTCTCATTACAGATTATTGGATATGAAAATGCAGACAGCAGAGCCAAAAGGCCGAAATCATCATGCTGCACACAAGGCACTTCAACTCTCCTTACAACTAGTATCTCATCATCCTGATAGTAGGAAATTCAGGCTAACATTTGGTTAAAAATATTAATTCAATGGAATAGGAATTGGAATAGACATAAGATAAAGGTTAGAACTAAAAAGTCTAATTTTATATTCAATTCACGCTAGCTTGATTTGTATATCCTACCTAGCTAAGTAGAAATAGAAATGCAACAACTTCAACATAAGAGTTGAATTAATTTCATTGTAAATTAAATATGAAAATGATGATTCAATCTTATATATCAAACATTGACATCAAGGAACAGAATAAGAATAGAATAGCAACTGAACCAAACAAGTTCTCAATATCAAATGTGAATCCTAGAGCCTACTCTTTTACAGTTTTAAGCCACCATATATTAGCATCCAAGGGCTACAGTAACTGTTAATAAGGGACTAGATTTTTCCAGAAAACTAAATTTCTCAATACAATTGAAATAAATTTCCAATTTATTAAAGTTATTCAGATCAGAGGTGAAATGGAAATAAGTAAAAGTGATCAACGGGCCTCTCCCAAATTTAATAGTAAAAAAAAAAAGTAGTAGACAATAGAAGAGAATTATCCCCGCATACTTGGCATATTCTCAACTTTCCTTAGATCTAGATTTGACTCCACAGTCTACAATTGATCTAGTCTTGTAAACACTAGCCACATAAACCATCCTTAGATCTAGATTTGACTCTCTACAGTTTTGTCCATACCAAGTGTCCCTGAACCACATAAACCATCCCCAGAGTTAAAATGCAGTCTACCAGACAAAATTGACTAGGAGCATGACAAGCTAATAGAGATACTTTAATATGGTGAAATTTCCATTAGTTATCACTAATGCTCCCCATAAATGCCTACAAACTTCAAGAGATAATATTGAAAAGAAAAAAAAAAAAGGCGTGACAAGTGCACTAAAAAAAAGTTTCCACATGAACAGATGTCCAAGGTACATGCAAACAATAAATACTAGTAAGGCATCCCCCATCTGGTAAACTTTTTTAAGGAAAAATGTTACTTGAAAGCTGGACCCTCAAAACCACTGAGAATTCCTTGTACTTTTCATGAATCCTTAAGGATTGTGTAAAGAAGCAGAAGACCGTCATTCTTTTCCACAATTTATTATCAGTCGCATATCAATAAAATCACTTTACATATATCTGCAATTTTGCTCATATAGTAATATTATTTCTGTAATATATTTTATCCTTATTTATTACTTTCCATCACATTTCCCATCATTTTCTTTCATTAATCTGCCAAAATATTCTGTCAACCTCAACTCATGGAGCTCATTCCCATAAACTCTCTGCCATGAAACTCATCAACTAGGTAGGGTCAAACATGCTAAGCTACCCTCTGCATTAGGAAGGTTATGTTCATTTAATGCCTAATTCATAGTGTAAATATTTAATAACAAAGTTCATATTGGAAGGTATTCATGTAAAAGCACGTAGACGCATTACCTGACATACATGCACATTCATTAAATGATCACAACTATAACTAATAGAAAAAAGCTAGAATTTTTTATCAGTCTTCCACAACCAAATAAGTACATGTATAATCAGTCAACTGTTCATCAACACGCAGAAACAGGACAAGGGAAGAGAGTTTATAACATACATATATGCTTAATAGCGGCATGCATATGTGCTAGTACATGTATGGGCATCTAATAGTAAATTGTTTTCCTTTTATCAATTTTTTCTTCTATCAGGGTTTGGAGTTGCTCTTAAGGCAATTGAAGTGCATTTCCCATCTGGAATAGATTTGCAGATAATAGACCTACTAGGCATTCCACTACCTCTATTATCAATGATAAATAATAAAGCCAAAAATAGAATACCTTTCCGGCCACCATAATGGGGAGCAGTGTCCCAAAATTCATCACGCATCTGCATGAGTTGGTCCCTTGTAATAGGTTCAGAATGCTTCCAAGGTTTTGGCTTCCGAATTTTCTTCGTGCCTTCTGTAAGCAGAGAATCAGCAATATAATTCCATCACAGTTACTATTTAATTTATGCACCAACATGGAAAAAAATAAACAAATTTTAGCAGAACATGCAAGCAATTTTATAATGCAACTGAAATATGTACGAGAGAGACCTATAAGCCTAGTCATATATATATTTTCAGTCTCTCTCATGATTACATTTGTTCGTATATATCTAGGTGAAGATGGAGAGAGAGAGAGAGAGAGAGAGAGAGAGAGAGATGTACTAATATTTCAAAAGCAAAGACATTAAACTGGGACATATAACATTTTATTCACCAATCAACATTAGAAGCTGTTAACAGATACTAGTACATGGAAACATAAATAAATATATGCATAGAAGAAACATATACATAGAAATACAGATAAGCAAAATCATACATGAGTTAAACAGAAAGGTTGAGTTAAACAGAAATGCTGATGCATCAAATTTGCTTAGACCGCGGTGTGTGAAGGACTACTCTAAATACAATAGACATGGCTAGAATCTCAGTGAAAAAATATATGTGGTTATTGAAGCTTTTTACAGTGCATTATTATTCTTTCCCTTTGAAAATTATATATCTAATGACTTGACCTCAAAAAAAATTCACAAGAGACCAAAAAGAAGGTCAACATTCAGCAACAATCAAAGAGACCTTCCACAAAGCCTGTCAAACTAAATTGGGTCAACACATAGTCAAAACTTACAACAGCATAATGCTGCCAACTTCAATGTCTTCACTACTATGAAATTTACAAGAAGATGATTTCTTTAAAGTCTCTGATAACGAGATTGTAGCATTTTTACAGATAAAAAGGGGAATGATGATATCATCATATTAACAGTTAATCATCAATACGACAAGATAATTCATGTCATCATAATGGTATTCCTCTCCAGTCCTATATTACTAGATAATATAATGCAAATCCCATAGTTGATTGATCCAGAGCTTAGGTGGGTCAGCCCAATCCAAAGTAAGATTATTCAACAGCTTGTGCAGTTGACTTTTAAATTTGACAATAAATAGCCTCATTAAGTCTCAAGTCCCTGCATGAAACTTAACGTACATGAGAAAAGAAAAATAAATGATAAGCGTTTTGGTGTGTTTGCGTGTTCTTTGAGAAAAATAAGAGACAGAATAGCTGTCTCTAAAATTCATTCTCTGGCCAAATCAATTGAGACACTTAAATATGTGAAAATCTTGTGGTGATTGACATAAAAACCAGCAAGCAGCAATCATAACGGAATCTACGCACAGTCGCATATAATTTTTTTATGGAGATAAATCTTTGAGAAAGATTAAGAAAAACCACGAAGCAGCATATCAAATTTGAATGGAGAGATTAACATACGTAGCATACGAACAGACAGTAAAAGCACACGGTGATCGTAAATCAGAGAACAGAGAAAAAAAACATCAAGTCCATGCGAAGTGTATTGATCAGAACAGAAAATCACGTACTAAATTAGATGATTAACGTAATCGAAAAGAGAAAAGAATGTAAACGACGGAAAGTAAAATATTCAGTCACCGTCAGTTTTGGCCAGAGAAGATCCGGTGCAGCCCATTGTAGTACAGTGAAGAATCTGGTTCAGGTAATAAAAAAGGAAGACGATGTAAAGGAAGCTTGGATTTGGTGTGAGAAAGAACGGAGAGTCCACCTTCAGAGCTCTCAGGTCTCCATCGTCATCTCCTTTTCTCTCTCTAAAAGGTTTTGATGAGTGGAGACGCAGTGGACCCTCGCCTTTTTATCTCTCATCACCCACTTTTTCTCTGGATTGCCACGTCACTCTCTACTGTCTAATCCCAAAATATTAAACTGTAATTAACATAGATCATTATCCACTAAATCCTAAATATGAGTTAATCTAACTCTAATTTCAATATAATTTAAATATATATTAATTCCCAAAAAATCTATAATTTGGATAATAATTTATTATATTTTTTCCGGAAAGTGCTCCAAATATCTATTAAATTTTAAATATAAATTAAAATTTAATAATAATTTCATTAATTATATAATTAATAACTATCTAATTTGTTTCTTAAGTAAATTACAAGATCGAAAAATAAAATTTAAATAGTACTTAAAATTTTTTGTATGAATAGTAATTTTATATAATATAGTTTCTTAATTTTTGTAACACAACAGGATAATTAATAAATTTTGTGACATCTACTATAATTTTTAATTTAAAATTAATAGTTCTTTTCGTAATTACATCAATAATCTATTTAATAATTCTAAACGTAATTAAAAGAAAATTTTACTACTAATTTTATTAAATAATTTCACTAAAATTAAACTAATCTAATTAAAATTTCTCAAAAATTCTATTAACTATCTAATAAAAACTATATTATAGTTATCATGATATATTATATGTTCTAGATTGTTTATTATCTATTATATATTTGAATCATTTAACTCAAGCAATAAATCCAAACTTATATTATGTTTTTTTAATTTAATTAGTTTTTTCATGTTTATTATACATTATTTTGTTTGCTTTTTTTATGAATTATTGTTATTAAAATAATAATTAGTGAAGAAACATATCATAAACTGATTATAATACTCGTAACTAGTGGCAACATGATAATAATACCAACACAATTGTATTAATTTTATTAGAATTATTTTTCAAAAGATGTAATGATTGAAATTATATACGAACTAATGTTTTAACCATATACAATCAATTTAATTATCACATATACTAATTTCAATAGAATTTTAGTAGTTATTAATTCTTAATATATTTTGGATTAATATAATAAATTTAACCATTTTATTTATAGTGTTAATTATTCCTATTTACGTATAAAGATTAATATGATTAAAATTGTAAATTTAGTTGGATCAAAGTTATGATTTTATATTGAAGTATTTGAGTGTTTATCATAATTAAACTTATATATACCAAAATGTGGCGGACATTACTATGCATGTAAATTTTTATATATTTTTTATGCACATTATTCTTTGATATTTCATATTCATCAATTTGCATTTATACATATCGAATTAACTCATCTGCAGTCATTCACCGAGTACTCAATATATATATATATATATAAACCAAGCC